ACTACGACTACGTACGAACACTTACGACTACTACACTACTTTATACTACTACTACTACTAATACTACTACTTACTTACTTTGCTATATTTAGAGTACTAACTTACTGATGCTACTACCTACTACTACTACTACTACTCCACTACCACTAACACTACTACTACTACTACTACTACTACTTACTGTAATACTACTACTACTACTACTACTACTGCTACGACTGCTACTACTGCCACTACGACCACTACCACTACTACTACTACTACTACTACTACCACTACTACTACTACTACTGCTACTACTACTACTACTACTACTACTACTACTACTACTACTACCACTTCTACTACAATGACTACTACGACTACTACTACTATCACGACCACTACTACTACTCCTACTACTACTACGACTGCTAGTTGTACTGCTACTCCTATTAATTTTTGTCTATTACTAGCACTGCTACTACTACTACTACTACTACTACAACGACGACTACTACCACTATTACTACCACTACCACTACTACTACTACTACTACTACTACTACTACTACTACTACTACTACTACTACTACTACTACTACTACTACTATTTACTTACTACTTCCTACTATACCCTTTTTAACTACATACTACTACTACTTACGACTACTTACTTACTACTACTAATACTACTACTAACTACTACTACTAGACTACTATCTACTATACACTACTCTACTTACTACTTGTTACGTACTACTGCTACTACTGCTACTACTGCTACTACTACTGCTACTACGGCCACTACTACTACTACTACTACTACTTCTTCTACTACTACTATGTACTCCGATTACTACTACTACTACTAATTATAATAATATTTCAACTGGTAGTACTACTACTACTACTACTACTACTACTACTCCAACTACTATTATTACTACTACTACTACTACTACTACTACTACTACGACTACCACTACGACTACTTCTGCTACTAGTGCTACTTCTTCGGCTACTACCACTACGACCACTACGACTAGTACGACCACTACTACTACTACGACTACTACTACTACTACTACTACTACTAGTACTACTACTACTACTACTACTACTACTACTACTACTACTACTACGACGACGACGACGACGACGACGTCGACGACGACGACGACGATGACAACGACGACTACTTACTACTATTACTATTGCTACTACTACTTACACTACTACAACTACGGCTGCTACTAATATACTGCTACGACTACACTACTACTACTACTACTACTATACTACTACTACTCGCGACTACGACGACGGACCTACTCCTACTCTACTACTACTACGTACTACACTACCACTACGACTGCTACTACTACTTTACTACTACTACTACTACTAATACTACGATACTACTCTACTTACTAATAATACTACTACTACTACTACTACTACTACTACTACTTTACGGCCTACTACTACTACTACTAATAATACTACTACTACTGCTACCACTACTACTACTGCTACATCTACTACTACTACTACTACTACTACTACTACTACTACTACTACTACTACTACTACTGCTATCACTACTACTACTACTACTACTACTACTACTATTACTACTACTATTATGACTACTACTACTACTACTACTACTACCACTACCCGTTCCTACTACTACTACGACTACTACGACTACTACGACTACTACGACTACTACGACTACGACTACTACTACTACTACTACTACTACTACTACTACTACTACTACTACTACTACGACTACTACTACTACTACTACTACTACTACTACTACTTCTACTACGACCACTAGTACTACTAGTACTATTCAGTCTTACGCCGAAGTTAGTGGATGCATGTAATGCCTACCTGCGGAAAATGCCCAACCAATTTAGTTGTGCACAGTTGTGCGCGTGTCTACCCAAGCGGCGTCTCTCTGCAACATCGTCAACCGTTCATTCCGGGGCGTTCCCACCACTCGGATGTATTGCTGCATTGCTGGTCTGGTGTGCCATAGACGCACGGGTGGATGGGTGCATCTTTTGATAAAGGGGCCTCGCTTGAGGCTTCCTCAACTGGAGCGACAAAAAAGTGAACATACGCACATAACAGCTGTGGATGAAGGACGTCTCTGCTTCAAACGTGATCCCTTGCATGCGATTGCCACAGGCGCAGTGGACAGAAGTGCAAACTCGTGTCACAGGTATACAGACGGGGGCGCGGCTCCTCTTCAAAACTGGGGTTCTCGCTGGACGACTCGTTGTGCAGAGCCAGAGCAGAGCCCTCTGGGGAGCGCAGAGCCCTCTGGGACCAAGTGGTGCAGCTCACCAGTCGTGCTCAACGACGGCCTCGGCGTGCCCCCGACGAGGAGCAGCAGCACGAGGTCAAGAAGCAAGAGGTCATCGCGCTGGCGCGCCGGGGCCTCCCAGGGAAGGCCGTGCGACACGCCTCGAGCGAGGGCCTTGCGCCCGACACGGCGCAGACGGAGGCCACCATGAGGTCGAAGTTCCCCCCGGCACCGGGCCACCAGCGGGACTCCCGCCGCCCTTCCGCGCCGCCGGCCAACGAGATCACCGAACAGGCGGTCGCAAAGGCCATCCACAGCTTCTCGAAGGGCGTTGCGCCGGGTCCATCCGGGCACCGTCCCGACTTCTACAAGCAGATTGTGGGCGAGAAGGGGGACAGGCCAGGTTGCGCGATCCTTGCCGCAGTGTGCAGTCTGTTAGCAGATGGCCGGGCCCCTGGGCAGCTGAGGCCGTTTCTGGGTGGAGCCCGGGGCACGGCCCTCCGGAAGACCGCGAAGGATGGCACAGAAGATGCCCGACCGGCGTGCTCAGGCGAGGCCATTCGGAGAGTTGTCGGAAAGGCCTTGTTGGCGACAGAGATAGACGCTTTACGAGTTCATCTCGAACCTCTGCAGCTGGCGGTCGGCGTGCGCGCCGGCGTCGAGGCCATGCCGCACCTGGCCCGGCAGTGGAAGCAGGACTTCGCGCACGACCTGGATCGGGTGTTGGTCAACAGCGACCAGGCGAATGCGCACAACGAGGTGGACCGACACACGTTCCTGACCCGGATGCGCGAGGTGGCCCCCGGCATCGTGCGATGGCTCGAGTTCATCTACCCCACGAACGTCCCCACGATGGTGTTCTACCGAGGGCGCATCATCGACAGCGAAAGTGGTGGGCAGCAAGGATGCCCACTGATTGGCGCTTGCCACGCGATGGTGCAGAGGATGCTGTTCGAGTCTCTGGGGCTCGTGCCGGTTCCGACGCGCACAGCAGTCCAGCTGCCCGTCCTCGAGCCTCCGGCGCGTCTGGACATGGCCCCCGGCTTCGCTGACGACGCCCTCGTCGCAGGCCCGTCCAATGAGGTGCTGCGGGCAATCGCACACCTGAAGGCGGTGATGCCCGCAGTCGGCCTTCGCTTCTCGACGCTGCAAGTGGTCCCGGCCGCTGGGGCTCGGAGCACGATCGACGCCGCCCCATTCGTAGAGCTGGGGTGCGTGGTTTTCCAGGACGGCAACTGTGAGGTGCTGAAATCTCCTGTCGGAGAGGAGGAGTACTGCAAAGCCTTCTGCGCGCGCCAGGCCAGGAAGCAGGGAGGCATCCTATCGTTCCTGGCGGAGCTTGGAGACCCCCAGGTCACGCATTACCTGCTGAGGCAATGCGTCAACGCTGGAAGGATGACCTACCTGGCTCGCACCACCCCGGCTGTGGTGCTGCGGGACGCCGCCGCCCGTTACGACGAGGAGGTGGTGGACGCGGCCGCCGCGGCGGTGGGCCAGCGTTGGACAGAGTTGCAGAGGAGGCAGGCCGCCTTCGCTACCTCCGCGGCCGGGCTTGGGCTGAGGCGCATCTCGATGGAGATGGACGCCGCGTACGTGGCGTCGCGGGCGGCCACCCACGACCTGTGCGAGCGCATCCGGCCTGGGCACCGGTGGGACGACGGCGCGCCGGGCAGGCCTCTGGCGGACGCCGCGGCCAGGTTGGCAGCCACCTTGGGCCGCGACGCCCACGGGGTGGCGACCCGGGCAGAGTTGACCCAGGCCTACCTGGGAGGTAAGCTGCGGAGCAAGGCAGTCGAGGCATGGCGTGAGGAGAGCCAGCCAGCCGACGGGGTTCGATTGAGCGCGCACTCAGCGCAGGGAGCGGGGACTCGCTACGAGCTCACCCCATCCAGGACACTTGACATGAACCTTTCCGCGGGCGAGTTCGCAGACAACGTCGCGACCTTGCTCGGTGTCGATGTGTTGGATGAGGGCAGCGCGTGCCCGCTGTGCGCGGCCCCGCTGGACGCGAAGGGTACGCATTGCTTGTCGTGCATGAGCGGAGGGGACGGCACGCTTGTGCATAATGCGATCAGAGACGTCTTCTACGACTACTCTGCTCGCGACGGGCTGCGCCCCACGCTGGAGGCAGCAGGGCTGCTGGATGACCCCGGGGCACGCGAAGCACGACAGGCAGCGGACGAGCACCGCCCGGCAGACGTGCTGGTGATCCCCCACATCACCTTAGCACGGTTTCTGCCTGACGGCAGCCGCGCGGTGAGGGCAGACAAGGTCTGCTTCGACTTCGCCTTGATCAACGCCCTGGGGCCGTCGCACTGGGCGGACACGGCCATGGCGCCGGGGCTCGCGGCCGAGGCGTACGACGAGCAGAAGCGGCAGCGCAACCGGACGGAGGAGCGATGCCGCGAGCACGGCCTCCAGTTCAGGCCGGTCGCGTTCGAGGCCCAGGGCGGCATGTCGAAGGGCGCGGACGCCGCGGTCCGTGCGCTGGCGACGGCGGTGGCGAGCAGGGAGGGCCGGGAGCCGGCCGCGGTGCGGCGGGAGATGCTTCATCGCATCGCCGTCATTGTGGCGAGAGGGAGCGCCGCGCGCATAGCGCGCCGGAGGGCGAAGGTGAGCGGGGCTCGAGCCTCGCGGGCGTCAGCGGCCAGACTAACGTGGGCCGCGGACCACGAGGAGCCCTAGTCCTCTGCGCCTTCCTCTCCTCCTCCCTCCTCCTCCTCCTCCTCCTCCTCCTCCTCCTCCTCCAGTTCAGCAGAATAGGCGAATTCTGTCGTAACCAGCCCGCCCTGGGAAAAGCGGCTGAAGTGTCGCAACCCGGATTTTGCCGAGGCCGCCCTCCGCCTCGTCCTCTTCCTCCCCTCCCCCTCCTCCTCCTCCTCCTCCTCCTCCTCCTCCTCCTCCTCCTCCTCCTCCTCCTCCTCCTCCTCCTCCTCCCCCTCCCTCCTCCTCCTCCTCCTCCTCCTCCTCCTCCTCCTCCTCCTCCTCCTCCTCCTTTGACGCTGCTCAGCCCGCAATTTTTCGGCATGCTGCGCCCATGCATTTTTTCGATCTCATCTTTTTGTTTCAGAAGAGTTGTCGACACGCATTTGGCGCCTCGTGGCCTCCTCGTTTGGAGTTGGCTGTGGTGGACGATCGACGGCTCTCGTGCTCTTTGCGGGAAGGCTTTGTGCCACGAGTTGTTTGTAGCACAACTCTTCTTTGTACACTCGTTGTGGTGTGTTGCCCCACCTTGTGGCATGCCTTACGAGCACGACGAGGAGGAGGAGGAGGCGAAACCAGTAGATGAGGAGGGGAGGAGGAGGGGGAGGAGAAGGAGGAGGAGGAGGACGAGGACGAGGACGAGGAGGAGGAGGAGGATGGGGAGGATGAACTCAGTGCGCAGGCGAGGCGGCGGCGACCTTGGTGAGGATGAACTCGGTGCGCCCCCAGCGACGCGCCAGGAGGAGGATGGGGAGGAGTCGCGAGCACGATGCAAAGAGGCTCCTTCCAAGACGGGACCCTCGGCGCCGAGAGGCGGGCCCACGGGGCGCCCGTCCCTCGAGGAGAACCGCTCCACGGCCGCGAGACGCGAGGGAGGGCCGCCTCGCTGCAGACAGGGCGCTTCGAGGTGGCATCGAAGCTTCCCGGGGACTGCTGAGAAGGGCATCTGCACGGGAGGTGCATCGCGGAAGCGCCTTGGGTTCACATGCGCTTTGTCCACCTTCGCCTCCGCCTCTCGTCCTTCTGATGGTGCCCCTCCTGATCATCCCCCTCCTCCTCCCGATCCTCCTCCTCCTCCTCCTCCTCCTCCTGGTCCTCCTCCTCCTCCCCCTCCTCCTCCTAATAGTGCCCCTCCTGATCCTTCCCCTCCTCCTCCCCCTCCTGACCCTCCTACCGATCCTCCCCTCCATCCTCCTCGTCCTCCCGACCGTGCGCCTCCTCGCGCTCCTCCTGGGCCTCCTCTTGCTCCGTGTCGGGCCCGAGGTGCTTCTGTTCCGTGGAGCTGGCCACGAGGCTCAAGGTGCACGCTTTCGACGTGGATCAGACATGAAGAACGGTGCCTGTTGCGGCGCTCGAGGTGCACGGCCAGCACTTCTTCTGCGGGGACGTTCCCTGGAACGTGTCTGAGACGCCTCGCGGCTCCTCCTCGGGGCCCTTTGCGCCCGTGCCCCGAGGGGAGGGGACGCCGAGGGGGGATGGGGGCCTCACTCTGGGTTCTCGTGTAGGAAATTTGCCCCAAACGGTGCGAGAATGGATGGCGGAAATGTCCGTCTCACAACTGTCGGGTCGATACTTCGGAAAGAGCACGGCGGAAGCAGCGACGGCAAAGGGGGGAGGGAAAATCGGCATCCAAGGAGTTTGAAAATCAGGGCGGCAAGTCCCGCCCTACCTGCGAAGTCGCCCACAGCACGGCGCATCCAGAGAGTCAGGGGAGGGGCCTGGGCCCGGGAGGCTCTTACGGCAGGCGCCTGTCCTGTCAGGGACAGCGAGAGGCTCGAGGATCGAGGTCTTCGTACGCTTTCGCCCCTTTTCGAGGAGGAGGAGGAAGAGGAGGAGGAGGAGGCAGAGGAAGAGGAGGAGGAGGAGGAGGAGGAGGAGGAGGACGAGGGGCAATACGGCAGGTTCGTGTCGGGTCGACGCGGCCCTGATGCGGCCGGCATCGGGCGATCCGCGCCATCGGAAAGTTGTGATCGTTCAAGGCCGGACGATCCACTCTCGGGAGGGGGAGAGACACACGGGCACAGTGCATCGCCGGATCCCCAGAGGCTGAGGGGAAACACGGGACGCGGGGAGGAAGACGAGAACTCAGAAAGAATATTAGGAAAATTTAGGGGATCCTGGGATTTGTGTGTCTTTATTTGCGTGTCCCTGGGCCCCTTTTCACACTCTGCGTAAGAGTGCGACGCCCAGGTCGTCACGACGACCTGGAAGGAGGAGGAGGAGGAGGAGGAGGAGGAGGAGGGGGAGGAGGAGGAGGAGGAGGAGGAGTAAGCGGGGGAGGAGGAGGCACTGGGAACACCGGCTCCGACCCGACAGAAGGGTTCTCGCCTGCCAGGCATCGAAGAGATAATGTCTCTTTCTCGGCGGAAGTCGGCGGAGGAAACAGATGCGGTTCCAAGAGATGACCGCATGCCTAGATTCAAAGTTTCTGGAGAGGGCCACCGGGCAAGGCTTGGGGTCGCGCCATCCCTCTGATGTCGCCCAGACTAACCTCAACGGAATCCCACGGTAGGTTCCTCAAACTTTTCTTCTTGCCTCTTTTTGTCCTGGAATTGCATCGCGGCGAATCAACGTGACTCTCGCGTCCTGTCCTGGGACTCCAGCATGAATCCTTTTTAACTGGTGTAAGCTGCTAAAACGAATATGCGCGGCGCTCAGGCGAGAGCCGTGTTTCGAAAGGGAACCGCCATCCATCCTTGAAGCTGCTGCATACGTTTTTCAGCGAATGCGCGCGGCGCTAAAGTAAGAGCCACATTTTGCATACGGGCCGCCCTCCTATCCTGAAAGCTGATGCATACTTTCAGAGCGAATGTGCGCGGCGCTCAGGCGAGAGCCGCATTTTGAAAAGCAGCCGCCCTCCATCCTAGAAGCGGCTGCAAACTTTTGCAGCGAATGTGCGCGGCGCTCAGGCGAGAGCTACATTTTGAAAGCGGGCCGCCAGTCGATCCTTGAAGCTGCTGCATAAGTTTAAGACGCATGTGAGCGGTGCCGAAGCGAAAACCACATTTTGAAATTGGGCCACCCTCCATCCCTGAAGCTGTTGTTAATATCAAGCTTCAGGAGCATAAGTGGTAAGGAAGTCTCACGCGAAACTCCCGGCCCGCCCTACCAACACGTCTGGGGGTGCGACATGGAGGAGGTATGGATTACAAAGGCTCTACGGCTGGTGCCCCTACATCGCCGTGACGAAAGTTTCTTTCAAGTTGCCTTTTGGAATGACGCGCTCGTGCGGAGTAGTTCGGAGTAGTTTTACTAAAACTACTCCTCGCGCAATCGCATCCCGCTCGATAACTTATATGGTTTGGCGCGGAGTAGTTTCCGATCCCGTTTTGGGGTAGCAGAGTTATTAACGTCTCCGGGATCGGAAACTACTCCGCCGAATGACCCCAGCATCATGCCATGTTAGGAATATTGAGAGGGATGGGAGAGATCTTCATCATAGCAAATTGAAGTTTTTTTTGTCACGGCTGTGTAGGAAGAGGAGGAGGAGGAGGAAGAGGAAAAGGAGGAGGAGAAGGAAGCGGAGGAAGGACAGGAGGAGGATGGGAGGGGCAAGGGGGAAAGCGAGGACGGCGACGACGCCGTCGACGACGACTCGTGCAGAGAAGCAACACGGGGGAGAACTCGACCGGGAGAGCTGTTCCAAGAGAGGGGGTGCTCCCCCCCCGGGGGGGGGAAGGGTCACAACCCCCCGGGCCCCGCCCCGGGAGCCCCGCGGGCCCCCCGCCAGGGCAGTCCCCGCGGGCCTCTCTCCGCCCCCCCGGTGGACGGACCACGAGAGGGCAGGGGCTCCCCTTCGACTCGACGGTGGCGTCCTCCCGCGGAGGGGTCACAACCCCCAGCGCTCTTCCCTCCGCCTCCTCGGGATCCCCTCCCAGGACCCCCCCCCCCCTCGGGATCTCCCCCAGGACGCCTCCCCACCCCCCCAAGGGGGGGGGGGGAGGGACAAAGGGAAGGGGGCTCTCCTCGACTCGATCAAGACGTTGCCCGATGTTTTGCTTGCTGGATGTGATTGCGATGTGGCTGGAGATCCATCGGAGCAGCTTTTGAGGCCTTCGTGCGCCTCGCAGAGAACGGAACAGAGGGGCGTCGAGCGGAAAAGCCTTTCACAAACGCCCGCAGGGTGGGCGAATAAGGAACAGGGATGGAGGAGGAGTATCAGCTTTTCCCCGTGGATGGTCAGTGACCGCCTCGTACGCTCCGCTTCGGGACCCGGCCTGCCTCCCGCACGCCAGGCACACGATGTCGAGCCTCCCATTTCCGCACGGGCTGGCGCTGCATCACGTGCATGCCGCACGCATGTGAAAGCGGGAAGCTCGTTCCTCTTGATGCCGAGAATTCGATCGATGAGCTCCCCGAATTGGAAGGCAGGTTTGGCAGCACCGAAAGGCGCAGCCCATTCCCCGCCCCATCACTGCCTCTGGCCAGTGACCAGGGACGCGTCGTTCTCTGCATCGGAACTCAGAGGAGGAAAAGGTACCCATACCTCTACGCTTCCCCCATTTCTCCTGTTCGGGCATCCTCGGAGGCCCTCGTCGCCACCGCTGAATTCGCCCCGAAACCCTAGTCAGAACGCACCCCGGGAGAGGTCCAGGGAGTCGCGGTATCGGTACCCTTTGGTCTCTCCGGAGACGTGGCCTGCACAGAGATCGCGCGCCGCAGGTTCAGCGCAAGCCAGGCTCCGTCGGCAGCACGGCGCGCGCCAAGCGGACGGCTGCGTCACGCGGTCCATTCCATCTGGGAGGCGACGGGGGATGCCAGGCTTGCACGGCGCGCCCCATGTTGTGCTCCATGTATGTCCAAATAGCCCAGGCGTGCTTCTGTTCGCTCGGCCGTCTCCGGCGCTGCCTCCATCGCCGCCGCGTCATCCCAAGCAGCAGTGCAAGTCTCGATCGTGGTCTTCGCATCGGCCATACTAGTCGTCGCTTCTGCTTCCGTCGCCGCCATGTCATCCTGAGCAGCGATGTCGGTCTCGAGTTGGGGCTTTACATCGGCGTGCTTTCAATCACCTCTGCCTCTGTCGCTGCCGCCTCATCCTGAGCAGCGGCGTCGGTCTCGATTACGTCCGCGACACACGTGGCTCGCAGCCTTCAGCACCTCGTCGGCCTGGGGCTTTGCAGCAGCCGTGTCGTTCGTCGCCTCTCCCTCCATCACCGCCGCCTCATCCTGAGCAGCGGTGTCAGTGTCTACTTGTGGCTTGGCATCGGCCGCGTCCTCCGTCGCCCCCATGGTCTCCTCGATCGAGTCATTGAAACTTCTTTCTCCGATGCAGAAAGGCATGGCGTGGTCATCCACGGCCAACGTGCTGCTGTCGTCCAGGTCGTCCGCCCAGCGACTGGCGTTGCTGCCCTAGCACTTCGGCTCCACGGTGGAGAACTCGAGATGCAGCGCCTCGGAGCCGTCCTGCACGTCCACCATGCCATCCCAGCACGCGCACTCCGCATCGGAGGGTCGGGGGTTGTTAACGGGCCGCCCCCCGCCCCAGGACTGGCACACCGCCGTAGCTCACCTCCGCCTCGTAAGGGTCCAGCGTCCTGCCCTAGCCCCCTTCGGAGCTCTTTGGGCGCGGGCGCCCACGTGCACTCCGAGGTTGCCCACCACTTCATCCTCCTCCTCCTCCTCCTCCTCCTCCTCCTCCTCCTCCTCCTCCTGTTCCTTCTCCTCCTCCTCCTCCTCCTCCTCCTCCTCCTCCTCCTCCTCCTCCTCCCCCTCCTCGTGGACCGTGGTCTTCATGCCCTCATGGCGCTTGGAGCTCTGCTGGCCGAGGGAGGCCAACCCCCCCCGAAGAAGTTCGGGGCTCCGACGGTGCTGCCCTGGTCCGATCTGGTCCGTGGTGGAGTTCTGCAGGCCTCCCGTGGAGATCGCCTGGTCATGGGCGCCCGCGTGTATAACAATGGTGCTCACCGCCTTCCCGTGGGCCGTCTGCCTCGTGCCCTGATGCCCACGGAGCCCAGCTGGCCGAAGGCAGCCGACTCTCCGTCGAGGCTCTGCTGGGCGCCGCAGACGTTGCCCCGGCCCTCGGAGGAGCTGTGCAGGTCGTGGGCAGCGCCCAGGTAC